TCTGTGTCTGCGTCTGCGTCATTACTGCGTCTATAACAACGACTAAACCCTTCCGTCCGCGTCTGCGTCTGTGTCTGCGTCATTACTGCGTCTATAACAGCGACCAAACCCTAGCGTCCGCGTCTGCGTCTGCGTCTCTGCAGGTCTGCGAACTAATAACAACCACTAAAGCCGCGTCTGCCTATGTGTCTGCTGCGTTAATTACTGCGACTATAAGCAACGACTAAACGCCTTGCGTCCGCGTTCGCGGTCCGGCGTCTGCGTCATTACTGCGACTATCACAACGACTAAAAACCCCCCGGTCTGTCTATGTGTCTGCGTCTGCGTCATTACTGGCGACTTATAACAACGACACTAAACCGCCTTGCGTCCGCGTCCGCCGTCCTGCGTCTGCGCATTAAATGCAACTTATAGACAACGACTAAAAACCCCCGCGCTGTCTATGTGTCTGCGTCTGACGTCATTACTTGCGACTTAAGCAACCGACTACCTCCGCGGCATCTGCGCTGCGCCTGCGGTCTGCGTATTACTGCGACTATACACAACTACTAAAACCACCGCGCTGCCGTCCTGTGTCTGCGTCACTTAACTGCAACTGTAACCAACTACCAACCCCCGCCACTGCGTCTGTGTCTGCGTCATTAATGCAACTGTACAACTACTAAACCCCCGCGCGCTCGCGTCTGTGTCTGCGTCCATTTAAAATGCAACTGTAACAACTACTAAACCCCCCGCGCCTGCGTCTGTGTCTGCGTCATTAATGCAACTCGTAAGCAACTACTAAAACCCCCGCGCACTAAGCGTCTGTGTCTGCGGTCATTAATGCAACATAACAACTACTAAACCTCCGCGCGCCTGCCGTCTTGTGTCTTCTGCGTCATTAATCGCAACTATAAACTAACTACTAAACCCCCCCCTGCCGTCTGTGTCTGCGTCAAATTATGCACTATAACAACTACTAACCACCCCCGCGCCTGCGTCTTGTGTCTGCGTTCCATTAATGCTAACTGTAACAACTACTAAACCCCGTCGCCTGCGTCTGTGTCTGCGCTTATTAATGCACACTATAACAACGACTAATCCCGCGCGTCTGTCCTATGTGTCTGCGTCTGCGGTCATTACTTACTGCGACTTAACAACGACTAAATCTCCGCAATCGCGTCTCGCCTGCGTCTGCGTTATTACTGGCGACTATATACACACGACTAAACCCTTGCGTCCTGCGTCTGCGTGCTGCGTCTGCGTCGGCGTCTGCGGACTATAAACAACGACTAAATCGCTACTAAGTCGAATGCATTAAACGTCGGCGGTACTGCGGGTCTGCGTCTCGACGGGATAACAAACGACTAAAACGAGCAGGAAGGAGTGGCAAGGCTGCATTATAGCCGTCTGCGCGAGCTCGTGCTCGAACCGCGCATACCGGACCCCCGCCCCAGAGGTGACGCACGGACACGTGCGGGGAAGGACTGTGGCGGGGGAGTGTTCGGAGTGAGTGGAGTGAAGGGTAAGAGGAACGACAAACATGGTCGTTGTGCTGCAACCTGGTGATGGAACCGTTTGAGAGAACGACGAGGCTGCGCCTGCCGAAACATAGCTTGTCGACGGCAGTCGATGGGGAGGGAGGCTAAGGCAGCCGTCAGCGCGTACCGTTAAGACGCTTGGAGAGAACGAGAGCTAATGGAGAGTCAGTGCGGGTCGATAACGCTGTTCCGGTGAAATGCGATGTTGGGTGAGAAGAAACCGGAAGCTTGGGACACGCGTAGATTGTAGACGGCGAAGGGATGATTTTCCTAGAAGGAAGCAGGAATAGCGACGACGACGGCCGTGTGGTTGAGAGCGATACGCTGTTATACGAGGTGTCGAAAGGTCTTTCTGGCTGTATCTACTATAATCGGTACGTAAGGTGAACGGATATGAGAAGTGAAGGGGGAGGTAGAAGCGAGAGGAGAGAGAGCAGAGCAGAGGCAGAGCAAGGCAGAGCGAGAAGAGAGAGAGCCGAGAGAAGTAAGAGGCGAGAGGAGAGAGAGAGGAGAGAGAAAGAAGAGAGAGAGACGAGCAGAAGAGAGAGAGAGAGAAGAAAGAGAGCGAGAGCGAGAGAGAGAGAGAGAGAGAGAGAGAGAGAGAAGAGAGAGAGAGAAAGAGAGAGAGAGAGTGAGAGAGACCGAGAGAGAGAGAGAGACAGAGAGAAGAAGAGAAGAGAGAGAGAAGAGAGAGAGAGAGAGAAAGAGAGCGAGAGAGAGAGAGAGAGAGAGAGAGAGAGAGAGAGACGTGAGAGAGAGAGAGAGAGAGAGAGAGAGAGAGAGAGAGCGAGAGAGAGAGAGAGAGAGAGAGAGAAATAGAGGAGAGAGAGAGAGAGTAGATAGAGAGAAGAGAGAGAAGAGGAAGAGAGAGAGGAGAGAGAGAGAGACGAAAGAGAGCGAGAGAGAGAAGAGAGAGAAGAAAAGAGAGAGAGAGAGAGAGAGAAGAGAAAGAGAGCGCGAGAGAGAGAAGAGAAGAGAGCAGAGAAGGAGAGAAGAGAAGAGAGGAAGAGAAAAGAGCGAGCAGAGTGGCAGTCGAGAGAGAAGAGAAGAAGAGAGGACGAGAGAGAAAGAGAGAGAAGAGAACAGAGAGCGAGAGAGAGAGGACGCAGGAGACGAGACGAGAAAGAGAGAGAGAGAAGAGAGGAAGAGAAGAGGAGAGAGAGAAAAAAGAGATGAGAGGAAGATGAGAGGAAGAGAGAGAGCA